AAAGATGGCATTTGCCTTAATGGCCCTGTTCAGTATCTTGTTTCCCTCCGGACTCCTAGGCCTGAGTTTGTGAATACTCAACAATCGAGGCGGGTCAAATTAGCCCTAATTGTGCTCGCTAAACATTCCGTACATGGCTATTACTTTAAGTGGTAATATTAAAGATGCAGCATTTGTTGTTGCTTATTTACACACCAAATGGCACAGATGAGCTGTTATTTCTTGCTTCCTTCTAGTTCTCTCTGTGATAGTTTCAACTAAGAAGGTGCTCTTCGGAGGAGAACTGCCGCCCGCCATTTCCCTGCAGAACGAGGAGAATCTGACTGCCTCTTTGACGTGAAGTGACTTTGTTGTGGGAACACAGTCTGGGTTGGTCAAGAGCTCTGAAAGATGCTGTCCGTGAAAAGTACCACTAACTGTAAAGAATTTCCAGTGGGATTTTAGGACTAGGGTTTTATGCAGATTGGTGTGATTTTACTATTTCCCATATGCAGATAGATAGCTTGAATCAGATAATTTTAAGACCAAACTTAAGAAAAAGGTTTGTCTCAAACATCCTAGAAGTTCTGGTGTGCTGTTGTAGGATAAGCACTAGACTGCTAACCACAAGGTTGGTGGTTAGAAGCCAACAGCCATTCCTTGGAAACCCTAAGCAGGGTCACAGTGAATCAGAACTGACTCAAAGGCACTAATAACCCAAACTTCTTGATAGCAAAATACGTATTTACTCACCCAAGAAAACTTGGATAACAAGTAGGAAATTTGTTCAGTCTAAACCCTTTGATACACTAAGCCTACCTCCAGAAATCTGTCATACAGAAATCATTAACTTAAAGAACTCCTATGCAAAGACTTTTATTTCAGAGTTATTTATAATAGTAACTTATAACAGAGGAAATTTGGGAGCATCCAATTTGTTCTACAGAAAAACTAAATAACTAAATCACGATTTATATCCATGTGAGAATTTTAGGTCCAATGGACATACTCCACTCACAGTTCTTCTTTCTGGGTGGCATTGAGGTCCCTTCAGTCTCTGCTTGCTGTTTAATCTCTTTTATATCTCAAAAGAGATTGACTCAAGATAATTAGGATAAGCAAAAAAAATACATATATATTGCTAGTAGGGTTCCATTTCATACATACCTGGATTTGCTCCAAGCCAAACATCTTTAAACATGTCTCTGTGATCAGGGGATGGCTGCAGACAAGTTCTCTCAGTAACACACTTGTCTGAGTCTCATTAGGGGGCCTTCACATAAAGGTTCAAGTAAAACAGTGGTGTCTGAGGGGATCTGCTGGGCCAGTTAAATTCAAAGCAGAGAGTCAGTAGAAAGTTATGACTACTATTTTTGGGGGTGATCTTGATAAATATTCTTGAAGGACACAGGATGATCACAGAGGCTTATTAGGAAGAAAATTGAAAACTGCATTGGTAAGAAAAAGGTCAGGAAAGTTACGTCAAGGAATTGTTTTCCATCACAAAAATGTAGCCGCTCACTCTTCTTGTACAAGAATTTCATTGGGAAACATTACCCTTGCCACCCTACCTTGACCTTGCTCCTTCAGACTTTTTTCAGTTCCCCAAACTCCAAGAACATTGAAAAATAATACTACTTAAGTCCTTCAAAGATGCCCAAACTGCTGTTTCAACGTGGTGTAAATAGACAAGCGCAGAATTCTTCAGGGAGAGGTTAGAGCAATGGAAACACTGTCTTCAGAAGTATATAGACCCAAATGGGGGGCTACATCAAGAAACAGTAGTGTCACATTTGAGTTATGGTGTTGGTAAAGAATATCAAAAGTATCATGGACTGCCAGAAGAACCAATCTGTCTTGGAAGAAGTACAGCCAGAATGCTCTTTAGAAGCCAGGATGGTGGGACTTTGTCTCTTGTTTTTTGGACATGTTGTCAGGGGGGACCATGTTTGTTAAAGTGGAAGATCAACAAAAAAGAGGAAGACCACCAAAAAGATGTATTGATGCAGTGGCAGTAATAATGGGCTCAACTAGAACAACTGTGAAGAGAATGCATAACTGGGCAGTGATTCATTCTGTTGTGCCTAGGGTCTCTCTGAGATGGCACCTAACAACAATACAAGGACGCGTGAAAAAGTTCATGTAAAAATTCCATTATTTAAATTTCATTTTCCAGAACTTTTTGAAGGCTCCTCATATATATCTAAGGAGCTCTGGTAGCGTAGTGGTTACGAATCGGGCTGCTAACCTCAAGATCGGCAGCTCGAAACAACCAGCAGTTCCGTGGGAGAAAGATGAGGCTTTCTGCTCCCATAAAGATTTACAGCCTCAGAAACCCTGTGCAGAGTCACTATGAGTCAGAACCGACCCCACGGTACTTAACAACAACAACATATATATACACACATACATATATGATATATATGATAAACTGGCATATGCTTTAAAATACTTTTCTTCAGTGTCTGGAATTTTTCACATTAAAAGGTTTTTTGCTGTTGTTTTTTTCCCTAGCAATACTTAAGGATATACGTATTAGGCCATGTTGGTTCCCAGGGGCATTGTAGCAATGTAATCTGTGATAGCAAAGAACCCAAATGTAAGAGCACATGTGTGTTTACAAGTGATATGTTGAGAGGCCATTCTTTTGGAAAAGCGCTTCTAAGTTTCTTTAAACTTTGTTTACTCATTTTTCCCCCCTCTACACCATTTTTTTAAAATTGTGGTAAAATACACAGAACAAAACATTTGTCACTTCAACCATTTTTGTGTGCACGATTCAGTGACAGTAATTACATTCACAATATGGTGAACAATCATTATTATCCACTTCCAAATTTTGTCATTGCCCTTAACAGAAACTCTGTGTCCTTTAAACAATAAACCCCTCGTTCTCCTGTCCCACCGTCCCTGGTAACCACTAATAAACTTCAGTCTCTATGTCCTTGCCTAACTAGAGATCTCATAAAGGAGCCCTGATACTGAGTGGGCTGCTAACCACAAGGTCAGCAGTTCAAATCCACCAGTTGCTCCACGAGAGAAAGATGAGGCTTTCTGCTTCCATAAAGATGTGCAGCCTCGGAAACCTGTACAGGGTTGCTATGAGTTGGAACCGACTCGATGGCACACCACCACCAGCACCACCATATTTGTATGCCTTAGTAGCCCTGCTGGCACTGTAGGGTACGGACCGGACTGCTAGCTGCAAGGTTGGCAGTTCAAACCCACCTACCACTCCCCAGGAGAAAGATGAGCTTTTCTGCTCTCATAAAGATGTACAGCCTCAGAAACCTTACACAGGGTCACTGTGAGTTGGAACCAACTCCACAGCAGACAGCAGCAATAGCAGATATTTCATACAAGTGGGAGAGTGCCATATTTGTCTTTTTGTGCCGGACTTACTTCAATCAGAGAAATATTTGCAAGATTCATTCATGTATCAGAACCATTATATTTTGGGCTTACCAAAAGGTCTTCAATCACCTTTGGGAAACTGAGGCAGCACATACCTTCCCTTAACACAGAGCCTCCCACAGCCACATGCGAAGCTCTACAATGTTCATGCATGTTCCTCGCTGACTCTCACAGTAACCCTGTGTGTTGAGAAGAGTGTTCCTGATCAAGCCTGCTTCAAAGGGATGAAGGAACCAAGATTCCACCCTACAGGGAAGCTTCCACAATCACGTTTATGGGACGGTTCTCTTCAGGCTCCGCTTTAATTTTGTTTGTAAAAATACCTATATCTTCAAAATGTAAAAATGCACCTTAGCACATTAGAGAAAGTCATATCTGTCTGCGAGGAGGCAGAGTCAAATCTACATTATGAAGATATGAAGGAGACCTGGGGGCACTGTAGGATAAGCACTGGACTGCTAACCCCATGGTCGGCAGCTCAAACCCACCAGCTGCTCTGAAGAAGAAAGCTGAGGCTTTCTGCTCCCCTAAAGATTTACAGCCTCAGAAGCTGCACAGGGCTGCTATGAGTTGGAACCGACTTGATGGTAGTAGGTTTGGTTTTTGTAAAAAAAAATATTTACAAAAGTAGAATACATATGAATGTCATGAATTCTTTCAATGGCTTCTTGTTGAGGAGCCCTAATGAGCAACATTCAATATAAGAGTTTCATGGCGGATTGGGGCCGCAAGTCCTTCTCTGCTACAAATTTCCTGTTGACTAAGGTGGTGGTTCAAACTCATCAGTCGCTCCTCAGAAATGCTATACAGGGTTCATAGGAGTTGGAACTGACTCAACAGCGCTTGACAACAAGGTGAGTCAGTTCACCTCTCTTAACCTTGGTCCCATCTGAAAACCAAGAACAGTATTTGTCTGTCTCCTGCCTTACCTTGAATTCAAAAGAAATAATATATGTAAAAATATTCTCAAAACTATAAAGGGATTATGTTGTTGTTGTTGTTAAGTGCTGTCGAGTCGGTTCCGACCCATAGCGACCCTGTTATAGTTATTTTTAAAATATACTCTCCAAGTAGATGTTCCTCCCCAATTGAAACCTCTTATTTCCTCATTCCACTTCCAGAATTGTTCTTCCACCACTCTGGGATACAGTTTGAATAAAATATTCTATGCATAGATTATCTTTTCAATTAAACATCATTTAGCTTTCTATTTACTGGGCAACATTTAAAGGAGAGATTTTCCTCTGAATTAAAAAAAAATTAACTTTAATATTGTTAAAATCCAAACAATTTGAAATATTATTTGAATCCTGGAGATTTCAAGCATTTTCGATTTCTATGCTAAAGCCCTGCTTAGCTGAAACACAGTAAATCATTTGGCTTTAAAGTCACAATGTCCATTGTAAATACTGTCAGTGGTACCCTTGTCCTGAGCTCTATAAAGGCAGATCTTCTCATGGGACTGAGAGCACAGCAGAGCCTCCAGACGAATCTTCTGGGACTGGAACCAAACAACAAGACTTTGCCCAAAGTGGTCAATATAAACTCTTCATCTATACTAAGTAGCTCATGAAAATGTATTCAGCATGAACCCTCTGGTCTCTTACCATGGCAGATTAGAAGCTGCTAAGACAAACACAAGATCTTCTGAGCGAGCCAACCCGTCCATCTGCACCAGTAGCTCTGTCTTCATCCGGAGGCTCCCTTCGTGTTCTCCCCTACAGAGAGACAAAGAGATGGGATCCTCCCAAGTGGCAGAGCGTCTGCCTTGGTGACCACCCTGGAACTCACAACAATGACTGTGGGAGCTGTTCCCTTCTGACAGCTCATCTCCTCCCCTGACTCATTCTGAGAAGCCACCAGTAACAGAGTGAGAGTTAAACAAGCCAGCACATCTTATTGTCCCACAGAAAGGATAAGAAAAGAAGTAAATGAACAGAGCGCTGGTACTTAAAAGGAAGTAACAGTTGGCAGTGAAGTAGGAAGCTGTCCACCCATGCCATAGCCTATATCGGAACCATTATATGAAGGCTAAGTGGTACCACATGGATTTAGCGCAGTCTGGCTGTGTCTACTTGCAGTATTATTGGCCCTTAGAGATGATGGCACAATTGATAACCATTCCCATCCTGTACAGACAGCATGAAAGGGCTTTCACACACAGTCTTCCATTTAGTGTGACTTCTGGCTCTAAATTGTTGAAGAAGAACTGAGCCACTGACATGGAATCTGTTTTACGCTTCCCTTGTAAGAGACAAGATCATGAGCTATGCTCTCCTTTCACAGGTAGATCTGAGTCTGTTTTCTATGAAAACTCATGCTCCAAGCTCTGGGCCAGCATTGCCAAAAGACCCTTCCAGAGCTCACTGGAAGACCTTGAATGACCGAAGTAGCTCTAAACATTCTCTATGTCTGCAGATGCCCCTTCCTCTTCATCGTATACATTGAGTTCCAAGGACATAAATTGCTTCTCCTGGACAACACGACATTCACCTTCGTGCCTCTGCTGGAAACCCAAACAGGTTGTGTTTTTGTTTTGTCTTGTTTTTAAAGAACTATGCCCCTTACTGGAGTCCTTGTGTGGTGCTGTGGGTTAATGCACTGGACTACAAAGTTGGTTTGAACTGCAAGCTCACCAGCCTCTCCTCAAAAACCCTATACAGGGTCAGAACCAAGTTGACAGTACAACAACAACACCCCCTTACTATCAGGCCTGGTGGTACAGTGGTTAAAGCAATCCCCTGCTAACTAAGAGGCCAGCAGTTCAAGCTCACCAACCAGCTCCAAGGTAGAAAGGTATGGCAGTCTGCTTCTGTAAAGATTTATAACCTCAGAAACCCTATGGAGCAGTTCTAGTCTGTCTGATAGGGTCTCTTTGAGTCGGGAATCAGAATCAACATGACAGCAGTGAGTTTTTAGGGCCCCTTACTAAAGGAGTTCAGGTGATGCAATGGTTAAATTTTAATGCACAATTGTAACTGAAAGGTTGGTGGTTCAAACCCACCAGCTGCCCATGGGAGAAAAGACCTGTAGATCTGCTACTTTAAAGACCACAGCTTAGGAAACCCTCTGGGGCAGTTCTACTTTATACAGTCTTATAGGGTAGCTATCAGTTAGAACAGACCTGACGGCACACAACAACCACATGCCCCTTTCAATTTACCTTTTCCTAAGAGCTAAGATGCTCTCATACCTTCTTGTTGTTGTTAAGTGACATCGAGTAGGTTCTGACTCATCGTGGCCCTCTATAGGGCTTCCAAGAAATGGCTAACGGGTTTGAACACTCCAGTGCTTATCCTACAGCATCACACCAGGACTCGAGAACTCACAGTATTGTTACATATGTATCTAGTAATTGTCCATAATTATTATTGTCTTAACAGGATATGGTCCAAGAAGTCTTCAGAGAATCTGCTCTCATGCCCTGATGCTTTGAAGACTCTGGTTTTGGAGTTTAAGTTCCAGACAATGACACTGACTTTCAGTATAAAGCTGAGCACACTCAAGGCCAGCAGAGGAAGGGTTTCCAAATGGGCCAATCAAGGCTCTGCAAAAGCCAGGGGATGGAGAGCCACAGAGCCAAAGAAGGAACCAGTTCCCCGGGTTATTGCACTGAGGTGCATGGTGGGGGAGTGTGTGGTCTGTGCTGAGGACAAGATTACTCAGAGATCTGGTGAATCGCCAGCTGGGTGCCACCTGCTCGGTCAGGCACTGGGGGAGCCATGCAACCGCTCAGTTGCATCAATCCTATACCACACAGGCACACTTTCATGGTAGTTTTTCCCTTTGGGGAAAATGGTTCTCAGTGGGTAAAATTTCACAAATTATATTCCAGTTATACTCCCAACTCTGGCTTGATGATAGACCATTAGAGGCCATTCATACATGCACCTCTGTTGTGTTTGCCCATGATTGGGTTTTCAAGCTGAGGTGCCAAATTTAGGTAACAGTTAAAAGGAAAATGCCAAACAACAAATGATGTCAGGCTCATTCTAGTCTGAGAATTCTTCTTTCCTGTTGGGGACATTAGCCAATACTTCATCTTTAGAGATAACTTATGTGGCTTATTTACAATGACAGGCTGAGCCACAACCTGATGTCACAGAGAACACGGTGGCTTCCCCAGCTAGGACTACCTCATAGGAGTGAGACAGGGGCCTGGCCCTTGATAGTGGCTGGGGAGGGGCTCTACTCCCCACAGTCAGCCCTCTGGCTCCAGGGGAAGCGGTGGTAGGTAGCTATTTTAAGTGTTGTGATGGCAGACCGGGGTCCTGGGGCGGCCTGAAAACCACTCTGTGGGGAAGAGCGGGGAGGGAGGATGACATTTCCTCCGGTTATAAAAACTACTTAAATCAGCTATTCAGTTAACAGGATCTAATTTAAAGACCTTTCCATGTGTCTGCAGAAAATTTGTGGGCTTATTAATAGGCTCATTCTGCTGGTAAATGTCGATAGGTTTCCGACCATCAAGCACACTTACAAGAGGGGAGAAATGATGATCAGAAAAAACCCGTCAGTTACCCGGGAGCCATGCCTCTCTGACTCATCACCGACTCCAGCTCATCCAGGAAAATTGTGGAGGGGGCGTGATAGCGGGCAAGTTCAAATAACACCTGGGGAGAGAAAAGGCAAGTCCATTTATTGAAAGTCCTCAGATGCTCACAGACCAGAGATGAAAACCTAGATTGTCTGTAATATTAAGTATGTGTGCTGCACTGTTAGTTCACAATAACTTATAATCACTGTAATTATTTCTCCCTAGCACCAGCCCATGGGGTTGGATGGTCCAATTATTTCCATTTATCATTTGGTAAAATTAGAGCCAGCGAGAGAACAAGTGGTTGGTTCAAGGTTACTCATCTTAAATGGATGGGCAGAGATAAAACTCCCTTCCCGAGATTCCAGTTAGTTAACTAATCCCTGAGAAACCCTGCCAATACTGAATTCCCTAAGGACACAAAAGCCTCAGAATATGTAAAATCATTTGAGGTTTTCCCTTCACCTTTGGGAACAATGGGAGGCTAATTTGCAGAAGGGAAAATGGTAGGGAAAGGACAGGGTTCCCATCATGGGTAACAAGACTGAAGAACTTTGCCCTTTTCTCTTCCTCAACTTAGTCTGGTCTCCATGCCACGCCAACATAATGCTCCTCGGTATGTTCATGGGACTTGAAACTAATTCCCTATTGAATATGCTGTTTCATTTCAAAATACATATTACAGACTGAACAAGAAAGGAAAGCAAAAGAAATGATGTTTAAAAGCAAAATAAAGCTCTAGAGGGAGATGTGGCGGTGATGAGAAGTATATAAAAACATAAACCGATTGTTTTTTTTAACCTTGAAACTGATCTCCTGAGTACCATCTGCAATTCTTCATTGGTTGATCAGAGAAAGCAGAAGAGATTTAGAAGAGAATAGTGGTTCTTTAGTAGGCATAGGGGATTTAGTCTGTTTCACTTAGCAGGAGAGCAAAGCATCACAAAACAAAAAGGAGTGAAATTCGTCAACCACAAAAGGACAAATATTGTGTGAGGTCACTGTTACCAAAAGTTAAGAAAAGGTTTTCTTGCTGAAAGAAACATTCTATGATGGTTACCAGGAGTGGCTAGACAGTACACACATGTTAACGTGGGTGACGGGACAGGCAATATACAACAACAGGGAGGTTGGCAGAGGAAAGATGAAGGTAGAAAGAGACACAGGAAAGAATGCAAGAGTTAAAGTGAATGGAGGTAAACACTGTTGACTGATGGAACAATGTAGAGGATTGTAATGAAACAAAGTATATGATTTGTTGAATATAAAACCTATGATCTGCTCTGTATACCCTCACTCAATTCACAATAAAAAGTTTAAAAAAAAAAACTGATGGGAAGGCTCAGAAAAAGCCAGCATGTGGTTTTCATGAGCAGTGCCAGGTTTGCCCTGACAGGATGGGAACTTCCTCACCTTCACCACTCCTTGCAGGTATGGTGCACACCTGCTCATGCATTTTCCTTTCACAGAAGCCTAGTTCACTAAGACTCTGAGAAGCTCAGCCTAATGAACTGAGAGGACAGTGTCGATGCTGGGATGTTCATCACAAATGCCTCTTACACACAATAACCAGCGGCTGTCCAGTCATTTCCAATTCATGACAGCCTCATGTGTGTCCGAGCAGAATTGTGCTTGGTAGGATTTCCAAGAGTTGGAAGCTAGATCACCAGGTCTTTCTTCCTAGGCACCGATGGTTAGCCACGAACCTCCAATGTGTTGGTTAGCAGCCGTGTACACTAATCATTTGTACCACTAGAGACTCCGTTTAGGCATAATAGAGGCCACCTAGTAGAAGCCAGTTTTTCCTTCCTTATCACAAAAAAAATCTAAGTAGATCTGATGTTGGGATGGTTCAAACAGCAGCAATCTTCCAGTGACAAGGATATGCTATCTGTGTACAGTTTTGAAGGAACTAAATGCAGACAGGCTAACAAACTCTATAAAACCAGGTATCAAAGGAAACAAAATGTGTGATTGTTGAATGTAAAACTGATAATCTGCTCTGATTTGTTAAATAGAAACCTGATGATCTTCACTCAATTCACAATTTAAAAAAAGATTACAATTTTAAAAAGTAGTTTCCTCCGGGGAGAGGGCTCAGGAATCTATATACCCTTTTGTACTAATAAACCAGTTACTTTTAAATATATGGAAAAGGAAAGAGAGAAATTGTGAGAGGAATTACTTCTTCACTCTTAGAATTCCATATTGCTTCTAAGGCAAGTAACAATGAACAACACTGCCCATGCATGCCACTGTTCTTTTTACCCCCAGAGAACATATAGAATTCTGGGGGAAGTGATGCTGGAAGTATTCATCTAAAATTTTCAGAAGTACAGGGAGAAAGTTAAGTGGTACAATTGGGAGGAGGGGAGAGTTATTGAAATCTGTAAGCAGCAACAGGTGTATGCATTTGCTAAAGAGACCACTCAACTATTCAATAGCATCTGTTCCTAAGAGGCAAGAACATTAGGAAGAGAGGGAAAAACAAAACCCAAGGGTTCCCTATAAATAACTCTTTAATTGGAATAGAAAGAGAAACAAATAGTAAGAAGGCTTCTCTGATTTAGGGGAAGGTCCTGAAGGGCATTCTTTAAGTGAAAGCATGACAGTAAAGGGCTTGACGGAGTGGTCACGATTTTCCAGGTGAGTGGCTTCCATACAGTGATTCCAAGGGTCCAGGAGATAAGGAGAAAATAAATGAATTTCTTAGCGGATATAAGAAGACATCGTTCAAGGTTAGCAGAGCTGACCGGTTTTCTTGCTGAACTGTGTTTTTAAAAATCCAAAGCAAAATTGCATTTTACATTATAAAGAAACACAAATGTCTTTTAAACCAATAAAAAGATGCTCAGTTTGACCTAGCTTCAATGACTGGATGATCAGAACTTGACTAGAGGAAGAAAGGAGAGGGAAAAAAAAGTGTAATCTGCTACAATTTGATGAACTTGACCTATATTTATGGATGTAGTAGCTTAAAAGAGGAAAGGAATCTTCACAGCAAGGATCATCGTCCCCCCCTCTGTATATAGGGTTGACAGGGATGGGCAATTTAGACATTGGCTACCTAATATGGGGGGCTATAAAGGAACGACGTATTGCATTAGGCAAATCTGCTGCACAAGACCTTTTTAAAGTGTTGAAGAGCAAAGACATCAGCTTGAGGACTAAGGTGCACCTGACTCAAGCCATGGTATTTTCGATAACCTCATATGCATGCAAAAGCTGGACAGCAAATAAGGACTGTAGAAGAATTGATGCTTTTGAGTTATGGTGTTGGAGGAGAATATTGAAAGTGCCATGGGCTGCCAAAAGAACCAATAGATCCGTTTTGAAAGAAGTGCAGCCAGAGTGCTCATGGGAGGCCAAGATGGCCAAACTTCGTCTCTCATTTCGGACATTTTGTCAGGAGGGACTAGTCGCTGGAGAATGACATCATGTTTGGTAACATGGAGGGTCAGAGAAAAAGACCCCCAACGCGATGGATTGGCCAAGTGGCAGCATTGATGAACTCAAGCATGGCAACAGCAGTGAGGTTAGCCCAGGATCGAGCAGTGTTTCGTTCTGCTGGGCATAGGGTCGCTATGAGTCGGTACCGACTCTATGGCACCTAAAAACAACAACAACAACAAAGGCACGAAGTGATTGGCTTACAAATTTTCAAGAGGAAGTTTAGTTTCAGAGGGGCAGGGGAAGGTAGAATCTCCACTGAATGGTTTCTAACCTGTCTAGACGGGGCTGGTGAAAGGAGATGCGGATAAGACTCTTGTGGTTCAATAGTGAATAATTGTTATCAGGACTGATTGCAATTGTGGCAAATGTAAAGGTAGACATTTTGTAATAAAGAGGGGAGTGGCTGACATTGCAGTCCAGCAACAGAGGACCCTGGGACCATCAAGGGAGAAGAGCGGAGTGTGGGACCCTATCCAGAGAAGCAACAACATCAGAGATGGAAGCAGAGATAATGATGTGGAGCGATGGAAAGATGGAGCTTCTGGGAACTCTAGACTCTAGCCTCAGGGGCTATGTGCTGGCGACCAGGGGGACAGGCTTGAAGGGTATGCCCTTTGGTTGTTTGAATCATTATATATTCCTGAGTGCTTTGGTGTACATCCAAAATACAAACAGAGGGAATAAAAGAATATACTGTTGAATGATGATGTATGGAGGGGATTATAATCACTACAATGAGACAAAATATGATAGGATGTTCTCCCATGTAAACTATAACTTAATTCACAATAAAAACATTAAAAAAAAGATGTTCAGGTTCATTCAGAATTTAAAATATGCACATTCAAGCACAGAAATATGACTTTCCCCCATCAGATTAAACAAATTTTTGGTAATACACAGTGTTGGCGATGGTATGGGGGACCAGATACATTCACACACTGTTGATAGGGGTATAAACTGGTGTGATCCTGTTGCAAGGCAATTGACAATCAGTGGTGTTCATTCCCTTTGACCCAGCAGATCTTCAAGGAAATTATCCATTGCTAATATATGGTCAAAGACATGTATATATATATATACATATATATACATATATATTGTTATTGTTAAGTGCCATCAAGTTGGATCCAACCCATAGCGACCCTGTATAGGGTCTCTGAGGAGCTTCTGGTGAGCTTGAACCACCGACCCTGCAGTTCAAACAGCTTTGCAGTCTGGCACATTAACCACAGCTCCACACAAGGACTCCATATATATATATATATATGATGGTTCACTGTAGCCTTGTTCATGATACAAGAGACTAGAAACAACATAAATGTCCATTAAAAAAAGATTGGTGGATACCATTTTGGTACACCCATGTAATAAAATATAGAGACATATAAAAGAACTTGCTCTTTCTACTTTTAACAGTGTGGAATAATATACAAGTTAAATTGTAAAGTGGGATAAAAGGGTATGCATAATCTGTTCCTGTTGATGTGTACTGTCGAGATAGTTTTGACATGTAGCACCCCTATATACAGGGTTTCCAAAGGGAGCTGGTAGGTTTGAACTGCCAACCTTGCAGTTAGCAGTTCAGTGTTTATCCTAGAGCACTACACCAGGGCTCATAGTATGTTCCTACTTGTATTGTAAAAAGGAAGGGAAAGATATAGTTATTGGTGTAGCTATGGATAAATGTTCTGGCTAGTAGTTTCCTCTGGGGAGAGGGCTCAGGAATCTATATACCCTTTTGTACTAATAAACCAGTTACTTTTAAATATATGGAAAAGGAAAGAGAGAAATTGTGAGAGGAATTACTTCTTCACTCTTAGAACTTTAACAAAATAACACTGGAGGAGAGGAAAACAAATAAAATGCTCACACAGAATGGAGAGTTTTTGTTAAAAGAATTTCTTAGCTATTCAACATTAAACAAGAAAATCCATTTAGTTTCAATCTTTGTAAAACAAAATATTAATAAATATCTGAATCTATTCTTTGGCCCAGTAATGTCCAGTCCAGGACTAGAATGTAATCTTCATTTGAGCATTTGGCAGTGTCTTTTATTCATAATTTTCATAAACAGGAGACAAATCTAAACTGAATCTGGGAGCATCTTTTGAGAGATTTGTTGTATTCCATAACAGAAATGGAATGTTTAAAAAAAAGAAATATTCAGGTTGATCACCAATGCAAGCCTCATCCTGTTCATGAAAATGTACAATCTGTCACACACTGTGACTGAGATGTCATAGTGAGGAATGCAGTGATGAACGCAATCTCTAAAGGAAGGAAAAGAACCAATAGGTTCTTGGTATTGTAGAGGAAAAGCACTCAGATCATCTGAAAGAAGAATCGTGTTTTGAGTTTTTTGATTCTTCCTTAGAAGACCAGCACACAGTAGTTTCTCAATAAATGTTAACTAAACACACTGCACATGCTTAATAATAAATGCTTCTTGACTAAACACTAGGCCACTTCAGGGCTTTTTTTTTTTTTTCTTCCCAGCTTCCATTTCTAAGTTACATGAATCAAAAACAGGGCTGTTGGCCAAATTCCCCAGGGAAGGGAAATCATATTTTGCTGATGAGGACATGATTGATATCCACATAAAATGGTCAACCCATTTCCCAGGCTTTGGTTAATCAAGATCTAGGAAAAAATTCAACATATCAGCCACATAAAAACAAATAAGCTTGAGAATCATTTTGCATCACTGTGTCTAAAATTTAGTCTAAAAAAGTAAAATCAAGAATGCCTACCCGAACAAGTTTTTCTGAATCCCCTCTCCATTTGCTGACAATGGTAGATGCAGAAATATTAAAGAAGGTTGTTTTACATTCAGTGGCCACAGCTTTGGCCAGTAAAGTCTTTCCTGTTCCTAGAGACACGTGGAGATAAAATATGAGCAGGCAATTAAACTCCATTCCTCCACTTAAACACAGATGCTAGTCTCACCAGCAAAGGAGGAAGTGGCTGTTCAGCCTTCATTTGCCCCAGCCCTAAAGTGAACCATGTTCCTCTCCCCTCAGTCGTTGTGGAATGGATTCTGACTAATAGTGACCTTACAGGACATGGCAGAAGTACCCCCCAAGGGTTTCCAACACTGTCATCTTTACAGAAGCAGACTGCCACATTTTTGTCCTGCAGAGCAGCTGGTGGGATTGAATAGCAAACCTTTCAGTTAGCCACAGAATGCTTAAACACCGTGCCACCAGAGCTCGCTAAAGTGAGGACAAGTCCCCAAACCAAGCCCACTGCAACTGAGTTGGTTCCAACTCATAATGTCCCTATAGGTTTCTGAGATGAAATCTTTACAAAAGCAGACAGCCTCATCTTTGTCCCTTAGAGCAGCTGGTGGGTTTGAAGCACCAACCTTGCAGTTACCAGCCCATCGTGTATATCACAGAGTCACCAGGGCTCCTTGAAGTGAGAATAGATGGAGGCAATTCATCTTTTTTAACACACACTATAGCAAGACTAAAATAGAGGGATGCATTTACCTGGTGGGCCATACAGCAGTAGTCCTTTCCAGGGCGAAAGGATCCCGGTAAACAGCTGTGGGTACTATGGAAACAAGGAACAATGATGGGCTCTGGTATCAATACACTGTCCTCCACACCCTTAGCACAGGCAAGCGAGCAAAGCTAGAACGGAAACAGGTCTTCCTTTCTTATTTATCACAATATTACTTTCACACTTGATAAGAATCCCTGGCTTAATTTGTGTTGCCTTTTAAAAGAGCAAGTTTTTGAAAGTCTATTTTTTATAGTTGTAAAAATACATATAACACAACATTTGCCGATTCAATATTTTTCAGGTGTGCAATCTAGTGAATTTCAACAAATTACATTGGTCATGTTGTACAACCAGCACCCAGAAAAAGAAACTAAAAGGGGAAATTTTCCATCACCAGAACCAGAAACTAAAAGAGCAATTACAAAAAATTAATAAACAGGAAAAAAAGGCATGTACAGGTATGATTTCTCTCTGGTTCAGTAGTTTTTTATATGCCTAACATCATTTCCTCTAAGTCCTCTTGAGAATCTTTTGAATGTGACAATCTTTTGAATGTTGTAAAGCAGGTACTACTTTAAGATAAAGAGTAGAAACAGCGAATGAGTGTGAATGTGAATAAAACACAAGGTTCTGGTGACACCTATTTTAGAAGTTGGGAACATACAATGGCAAATGCATTCTGAGAGGACACTGACTCCAAACTGACATGCAAGGACTCAGCGAGCCTCTCCCATTGATCCAAGTTCAAACAACTGGCCGGGAGCGTAGGGAAGAAAAATAATAGTAAAATTAACTAGCTATTCATGTTTTGCTGATGCTAATGTCAAAATCTCAACACCATCACAATACAGAGCTTATAATGTTGGTGCCGTTGTTGTTGTTAAGTGTTGTCAAGTCTGTTCTGACTCATAGCAACCCTGTATTAGGGTTTCTGAGGAGCGGCTGGTGGGTTTGAACCACTGACTTTGCAGTTAGCAGTCCAATGCTTATCCTATATAGTGCCGCACCAGGAGTCCCATGGAGATAATACATCTAGAGATGTAATTTCATTGAGATATACTGTCCTTTTTAAAAAAAAATGTCATATTATGGAGTCCTGGTGTGGCACTGCTGGTTAATGTGCTGGATTGCAAGGTTGGTTTGAATCACAAGGTTGACAGTTCAAGCCCACCAGCTGTTCCTCAGAAACCCTATCCAGGGTCACTAACAGTCAGAACCGACTTGACAACACTTAACGACAACAACAATGGATTCACTTAGAGGAAATGGTGGATAAACTTCTATTAATTCTGAATACTATCATGTTTCTTAACCCAAAAATAATCCAAATTTATTATTTTTGTCTCCTTAGGAGAATCTGAAAACCAGGGGCTTCACAAAATCAATGATCCATATATGCAGATTACTCAGTAAAATAAATTTGTATCTCCTGGCTGAGAGAGATTACAAAAAGTAGCCACAAACTATTGACAGCTTCTCCCATCAAGAAGTGGAGTCTATTTCTTTACCCATTGAATCTGGGATTGGCTTTATGTCTTCCTTTAGCCAATGGGACATTAGCAAACATAAGAAAAGAGTTAACTAGAGAAGACTAACAAATAGAAGCTTGAAAACTGCTACATACTGGCACCTGCCCTTGATTGTTTCTTTCTGGGGACTTTCCTGCCACCACAGAAACAAGACTGAGCTTGCCTACTGGGGAATGTGAGGCCACATGGTGAGAAGTCTCAGTTGTCCTGCCACAGACACGTGAGAGAGCCCAGCCAGTACCATGGAGGAGAGATGAGCCATAATTGCCAACCCATAGAATGATAAGCAAATCAGATTGTTGTCTTAAGACACTAAGTTTTGGGGTGGTCTGTTATGTAGCAAAAGCTAAGCAATCTATTCACCTTCTCATCACTAGATTTATAAACAAAACATGGAGAATTTTTGTTTTTCTATTTTTCAACCCGTTTAACAAACCATAACCATAGAGAGTTCATCAGGCATAAGCAATGAGAGCAACCCATTGGTTCTACTGGCCGCTGTCCTGAAAAGAACTGTGAAGTTTGCACAACCAGCCAAGAGCACAGTCATGGTGGTGGGGGGTCGACAAAAACAAAAGGAGAGGCCTTCTCCTATGGGAGGCATTTCTACTATAATAAGTATATTTTCAGAAAGGCAGGCTAATTTGAACCAATCTATAGTAACTGAGAGATCATACACACCACAGTGTTAGATCTTAAATTATCCCTAGAGCAGAAACATGCCTTGAACCAAGACATAACAAGATTTTAAATTGCCTCCGTGCTACAGTGTTGACACAGTGTTGTGTCACAGGTAAAAAGTTAACTTGTGGACAGAAAATCATCCTTCCCGTCCTGATGGGCCTATGACATACTGCTTATCCAATGGATAATGAACAGAAACAACCCCCAAGAGGTTTCCCATCCTTACCCTTATAGGATACACAACTGCTTCTTTGACTAACTGCTTGGCTGCATCGAGTCCAATAATGTCATTCCACTTTATGTTTGGATTATGGAGATAAATGTCCTGCAATGCACATTTGATCATTTTGTTAAAACTAATGTTTTCCTCTACTGCTGTAATAAACACAGGAGCAGTAGAATGCTTGACTTATAGTAGCACATAAAGTACTGGTAATAAAAAAAAAAAAAAACATATTATATATATGTATATGTCCACATTGTAATATTGGGTTAGCTCACCAAAGGGATGCCATGAAAATATTCAACGATTTTCCCTGAAGATGCTATTGATGATATAATATGGTACATTTACGGAGGGAAAAAAATCTCCAAACGATGGCCTGACTATGCTTGTCTTCAGTCAATAGCAAACCATGCTGATTTACGATCTAATCAAAGAAGCTCCAGAATATGCCTTCAAATTACATTAGCTTTTACTACGACACATAGTTCCTAGCCAGTACCTTGCTCTTTGATCTCTCTCTTGCTCCTTGATCTCGCAAACACTTTCTTAATTTGTTACATAAAAGAGATAATGCTCCTCTGAAACCAATTTCTCTTTTTCCCTAGTGATTGTTCCCTACTCCCATCAGGAGCAATTGCTTCTACGAAAATCAAGGGAAGCCGACAACCAAGCAAGTGTGTAGTTTTCCCCTCATATAGCAGAGCCCTGTAACAACCATCGAGGATAATCAATTAAGGCAGCTTTCACTGATAACTAATTCACAGTTTCCAAACTTCAATTTCACAAGGCGTCTCAGAACAGGCACGCAGGCGCCTCTCCTGTATGAGCTGTTTCAGGTGAACTTAATATCTAGTGTTACTTTTTTTTTTTAAAGGCCCCTTTCCAAAGTCATTGTGAATGACTACAGGACAATGTAGATATGGTTTCTTTCTTTCTTTAATTTCAGTCGGTAGTCTATGCTGCTGAGATGTTATGTTCCTTCCAGTATTTCCTATCTATCTAGTTCTTTTCATCACAAACAGCCACTTTTACTAGAGAAACTATTCGTACAAGTGGGTTTAGTTGTGCATAACAACTTCCTAGACCCGAACAGAGGAAGGAGTCAGTCTTCCAAATCTTTGGGAGAGCCCATCCTGTCTTTAAAGCCCAGGTCTACACACTGGACCTAGCCACTCCCATCCTTCCTACTGCCCCTTCTTGGAGAAAAGTTTCTCATACCGTAAGAATTCATCTTCCTTGGCATTTAAGGCATTTATAGATCACAGCCACTCCTTGGATACCCTATATAGGGTCGCTATGAGTTGGAACCACCTTGACGGCACTTCACAACCACAAAATAGATAATAGTGTTTTGCTTGCCGTCTTCTAGAGTAGAGATTGAGTTCTGCATTGGTGGTGGTGTTATTTTCCCAACAGAGAGTGGTTCCTTTTGATAGCCCAGAGTTATCAGAGAACTGCTTCATGAAGTGGCGAGCTGCTATCACTGGAAGCACCAGAGAGGATGCCGAATGGACCCACTCCCAGGGTATTGGAGAAAGACTTCCAGCTGGAATCTAGGTCACTTCCACGCTACAGTTTTAACCTCATTCTTCATGTTACCCTTTGTTAAGTGGTAACAAGATAATTATTGTGGGAATCAAACATATTTTTCTGCTCTCTTATGCATCCCAATTACTGCAGCCTGGCTTAATCTCACATCTGGTCTCACTGAAACAAATTCATAGTTGGTCTTCCTACCTCCATTTTTTTTTTATATCAGCCCCCCTCAAAGTGTTTTTAGAATACATCCTCTAAAAGAACATTGGATTCTCCTATTCCCCTGATAGACATCTCTGAAAGATTCCCCATTACATACAGGCCAATTCCCAGCCCTGGGTCCTGTCCTCTGGGCCCTTTACAGGAGCCTGTCCTCTGTCCAGCCTCATTTCCCACCTCTCCCTGCTTCTTGCTTTGCTTACCAGAAACACTGCACCAGCTATACTACGAAGGGATGTCTCAAAATTCGTGGAAAAATTCCGTTGTCTTTTCATTCAATTTTTATATTCTACACATATGAAGGGGGCTTCCAAAAGTTCATAGACACATTTCATAATATTTTCATTCATTATTCCATGAACTTTTGGAAGCTCCCTTGTTTGTGCCTTTGTCCAGAACGCCTCCCACTGGCTCTTCCCCACTCTTCCCTAAAACTTTCCTATCCTTTGGTGCTAAAGACCCCTCCTCCATCTTCTCAAAGTGAGCCTCACCCACAGGATGAGGAATTCTTGTGGGCAAGCACTGTGTCTGATCAGTTCACCATTGTGCTTCCAGCCCCCAGCTCCGGCCTGGCTCACAATGGGCACGGCAGTAAACGACTTTTGAATGGAAGGCACCCTTAATGACCTCAGAGTGGCTGTGCATTTTGTGGATCCTTTTAAACATCTCTCGGAGCCTGCTTAGGTTTCAGTCTTTCAGTAAACAGGGGATCACTAGGAATTAGAACTGCATCATAACCAAGGAAGCTACTCTAGTCCCAAGTAACTTGCCCAAAGCCACACCACTAGAAAGAGGAGAAGCTAGAAATCACATCCAGGTTAGCTGGTGTCCTTGAACGTCCCTGCCCTTAGATTCTGTAGCACAAGCTTGGGCAGTCTAATGGTCCAGAAAATCTCTACAGATAATCTTTTCATGGAAATGTTTCAATGATGGAATCATCTGGTTCCTAGCCCAGCTGTTTCTAGGCTTTGACCTTTTTTAAGTAGAGGTAGGCAGACTCTTTCCTCCTCTAGGAGCCTTTCTCTCCCTGCCCCTTGGTTCTCTTCTCAAACCTTTCAACTGTCCCTTCACTGCTCAGTCGTTCTCTCTCTTGGCCTCTATATGAGATGGTGGGCTTTTTATATTGTAATTTTATGATTCTATAATTTATTTATCATGCATTATTGTGCCTCTAAACAATATGAGTGCCTTCGCAAGTGGGGGCACTTTATAAATAAATGATCATATTTATTGTTATTAATAAAAGCAACAGCCCACAATGCTCCGGGAGCCGCAATCTGCCTCCGTGAATTTGTGAATTGAATCTCAGACCTTACCCGGCTCACCACGGCTGCCAATTCTCGCATCTCACTGTTTGTGCCAATAAATGCACTCAGAGGTTTCAGCAACCGTTCCTGGCGAGAGGAACAAAAAGCCTCTTGTTACAATACTGTTTCATGATTTAGGAAGAAAAACAGAACACGGTTCTCAGTGAAACAAATGGTGGCAGGTCACTTTGCCCTCTGACTTAATCTCAAGGTTTCCCTGGGCTCACAATTATATTTCTGAAGTTCATCTGGATTTTGACAGTCAGAAAGATGAATGTCACATCTTAGCCACTTACTGAGGGGTCTGGGTTACAGTCGAAGCTGTTCAAGGTTAGTTCACTAGTTGCTCCTTTGATAGCATCTGTGAGCAGCCCTCGGAAGTCAATGATTTGGCCCTGAAAGGGAATAATGGTTATTTATGCCATTAAAACATGAGAGGTGACTATGCTTAATAGCTTAGCTTCATTAAATCAAGGTGTAGCTATAAACCTTGGTACATAGGACAAATAAAGTCAGGCTTTATAAATCACCTGCACCAATATTGAATAATTTCCTCAAGGTGAAGCACTGTAAAAAAAAAAAAACTGTAAATAAATTCTTTAGAAAGAAGTTGATTTGAATAAAAATTCACACACATTTTTCCATTTCTGCACATGCCATCTGCTTCTTGATTCATCTACTTCCCTATAGTGTCTCATCATTTTAAAGCATTCCAGAACAGCTGTAAGGATTTGCTGGCACAGAAATAAATTATTGAATAATATCAACACTGGGCTGCAAACCACAAGGTTGGCAGTTCCAACCCACCAGCAGCTCCTTGGAAATCCTATATAGGGTCACTATGAGTCGGAACCCACTCGACGGCACTTAGCAACAATATTGACTAAAGTCTCCCCCACCACTTAGTAGACTGCCTGGCACAAGACAGATGTGCAAGGTGCTTTGTGAGGATTCTTTTACATTCTTACAACACCTCCACTATAGGAGGGTGAGGCAAAAAATATCCATACCTGGTTATGTTAAAACACCCATCCACATCCACAGTTGGTAACAACATTGAGCATGCACGTGAAACAGTTCTGTTGAACAGATGAGTGACAGTGGATTATGTAGCACATCATTTGCAGATCAGCAATGACTTTGCCTATTAAATAATCCATGAAAGACTTGGGTTTCGAAGTTTGTGCAAGCTGGGTACAGAAACAACTCACAGAAGAGCATAAACAGAAGAGTCTGGACATCTGCGAACAAAATATGGACCAAGACTTGAAGGAAGGTAAAAGTTTCTTAAAAAAAATTGTTACTGGTGACGAGATGTGGATTTATCACTACAAGCCTGAGAGTAAACGGCAGAACATGGAATGGAAAACTCCTCAATCGCCAACCAAGACAAAGTTCAAAAGTCAGCTGGAAAATTGATGTTTACAGTTTTCTGGGATTCTCAAAGGCCAGTATTGGAACACTAACAGGAAAATGATTCAATAATGCTCACTATAGTGAGATACTCACTGAAGAGCTGAAGCCTAAACTTCGGATTAAATACAGAGGATTGCTATCCAAGGGCATTGTGATCTTCCGTGACAGTGCATGTCCACACACCTCTGCCCACACTGTTGACACTCTGCAAAAGCTTTGTTTTTGAGGTGTTAAAGCATTTTCTCTATAGTCCTGATCTTGCTCCCTCAGACTTTCACCTGTTTGGTCCCCTGAAAGCAGCCCTTAGAGGATAAAGATTCACCTCTGATGAAGAAGTGAAGTCAGCAGTGCATTCGTGGCTCACAGCTCAGCCTAAAACATTTTTAAATAAGGGAATATGAAAGCTTGTTGACAGATGGACAAAGTGTATTGAAAAGCAAGGAGATTGTGTCAAAAGATGATGCATTTGCCTTTTCTAAAAGTTGATTAAAATAAATTCTACAGTCAGAGTGTGGATAATTTTTGACTCACCCTCATAGTTAGTAACATACCAGTTTCAAGTGGAAATAAGACCCTGAGAAGTTAAGTGACTTGCCCAGGGCCACATGACTAACAAGTTATTAAAAATTCAAACCCAGATACATGTCTCCCAAATCCTCCACTACCACTTTGTCTGCCCTCATGAAAGATGGGGGAAAGCAAACATGTGTACAAAAAACAATAACAATCATCAACATCTATTGTTCATTATGTGCTAGACACTCTCCAAGGAGCCCTGGTAATGGAGTGGTTAAAGTGCTCAGCTGCTAACCTGGGGAGAAAGATGTGGTGGTCTGCTTCCATAAAGGAACCCTGTGGAGCAGTTCTGCTCTGTGCTGTGGGGTCACTAGGAGTGAATTACTCAATGGCTGTGGGTGGGGTTTAGTGAGAGGCACTCTCCATTCATTGCAGTTGCTTGTTGTTGTTGTTGCGTACCATCAAGTCAGTTTTGACTCATAGTTCCCTGTATAGGGCTTCCAAGAGCGACTGATGGGTTTGAACTGCCAATCTTGTGGTTAGCCATCCAGCTCCATACATTATAACATTCAAATCAGATACTGATTATTTCCATTTTACAGATGAAAGAAGTGAAGTTAGAGAGATAAGCAACTTGCCAAAGGTTACATAGCTACGAAACATCTGAGCAGGAATTTGAACCTAGGTAGGCTGACTCCTAAAGACTATGCTTTAAAAACAACATAATTTGCAGGGGGCTTTGGAAATCTTGAAACTAGCACCATAACATTATAATGATAGACCCATCTTGGAGATCCGATTCTGGCCAAACACCTTCATTCAGCCTAGGAACATCGGAGATTCTTGGGAAAAACCACTTACATTTTATTCTGAGGGCATTTCCACTGGAAAAAGGATTTACAGACAGATTCTTTCAAAGGGTACGTAATGGGTTAAAGTAGTCCCTTCCTTGTGACCTGTTACGAATTAAATTGTGTCCCCCAAATATGTGTCAAGTTGGCTAGGACACGATTCTCAGTGGTTTGGAAGTTATACAATGATGTAATCATCCCCATGATGTGATATGCTGTCAATGCTGAGCTCTTTATGTTAATAAGCCAGGGTTAGGTTAATGAAGATTGCTATTTTTGTTATGTGAGTGAGGCAGGATTAGGCTGGGATACGATACTCGAATTCAGGATACAGTCTGGAACCAGTGTAAGGGGAGTTTCTCTGGGATGTGGCCTGCATCACCTTTTATCTTAAGCCTGCTACTATTGAATCCATTCAGGCTTACAGCAATCCTATAAGAGAGTAAAACTACTCCATAGGGTTTCCAAGACTGTTGATCTTTATAGAAGCCAACAGTCTCATCATTCTTTTGTGGAGTGATTGGTGGGTTTGAATCACCAAGCTTGCAGTTAGCAGTCCGGTGTTTAGCCCACTGTGCCACCACGGCTCAGAAGTGAGAAGTTAACAAAAAGGGACCTAAGTATCACCAAGAAAAAACAGCTGGAATGCATTCTTTGGACCTTGGCTCCCTGTGCTGAGAACCTCCTAGACACAAGGAAATACTGATACCAAGATACATGGAGCTCTCCAAGGGATGCTGGGCCCACAAATGTGGAAAGAAGATAACGACTTCCCCCGAAAGTGATAGAGAGACAAAACCTTCTCTGGTTTTGAACTGGTACCACGAACTCAAACGTCTAGCCTGCCAAACTATAAGAGAATAAATGTCCGTTCATTAAAGACATCCACTTGTGGTATCCCTGTTCTAGCAGCACTAGATAACTAAGACATGACCCAAACAGAAACATCCATTAATAACAATGGGAGGTATTCAAGAGAGCAACTCGTGTCACAATATTGCTGGGCACAAAAGTGACTGAAAACACAATGAAAATACAAATGGTGAACAAGGAACTATTTCTCCATGGAAGGTACTGATTCAAATGGCATCATCCCAAGCGGTTATCTGTATAATTGAGGTTCAAGAAAGCAGTTGCCGTTGAGTTGATTGCAACTCATGAGGACCCCATATGTCTCAGAGTAGAACTGGGCTCCATGGGTTTTCAAGAAGTAGATCAACAGAACTTCCTTTCCGGACACCTCTAGGAGGATTAGAACTCCCAATCTTTTGGTTAAAGTTTGAGCTACTCTATGTGCCTTGAAGTTGGTTCCAACTCATAGCGACCCTGTACAGGGTTTCCAAGGCTGTAAATCTTTACAGGAGCAGAAAGCCTCATCTTTCTCCCGTGGAACAGCTGGTTGTTTCGAACTGCTGACTTTGCAGTTCGCAGCCTGATTCATAACCACCATGCTACCAGAGCTCCTTAGGGACTCTACGGAGGCCCCAAAAGAGAACCAATTTAAGTCAATGAGGTAGTTCTCCTTGATATCCAGGAAGATGTTCCCAGCTTCTTCTTGAAACTCATACTTGCTGAGTGCAGTTGGGCTGAGACGAGCTAGCCAGAACTAAATCAGTAGTCCTGTCATTGACAACTTGATCAGAGAAAGAATGAAGACTCTTAAAGCAATGCAACCTTGGAGGTTACAATCAAGAGAAACACAAGGGGGTTGATGCTGCACTTCATCTCCAAATGGCATCTATAAGCCTATCTTCTGCCTATCTCCACCCTGGGTCTCTTCTGTTTGAGAAATTGTTGTTTAGGACTTCTGACATGAACTGAATTCTAAGAGGGGTAGAAATATCCATGAAGGACAAGATGGGCACAGTATGAGCTCAGGTTTTATGAAATGAACTGAGGTTCACATGAAATGACACTGAAACCTGAAGCCATACCTTCAAGGAGAAAGGTGACACCACTGATGCCAGGCAGAAAAGAATGGGTGTGAGGACACACTCACTAAAGAATGCAGCCCAGCCACCACGTCACAGTTTAACACATTGACCACAAACTTTTTTAGCTGAAAGGAACATGAGAATCTATCTGTTTCAAACCCCTCAACTGACAAATGAGAAAACAGCTCCACAGAGATGGGGCATTTCTTTCAAGACTACTCATCCAGAGACAAGGTCATTCCAGAACAGGACCCCAGTTTTCTGATCCTTATCCAGTGCTCTTCCCAGAGCCAACCTTGAATCAGAACATATGAACATATGAAAACATTTTTTCTCAAAGAGAGAAATGCTCCCTTTCTGTGTTCGGTTCATGAGGTCTACTCACCCTTCGTGGGTAGACTTTTTCTTCTCCACTGCCTTTGTTGATGCCTGAGATATTTAGGCCAAAGTCAGCACTCTCCAAACGAGTGCTATTCATAGCTTCCTTAAGAAAGAGAGAGAACGTGAGAAGTCAGCACGGAAAGCAACCAAGAGATGCTGCTTGTCACACTATTCATCATCCAAATATCAAATACCGGATACCAGTTCTGTACATGGTACCAGTTCTGAACCTCGTGTGTAATGTGGACACTTTTGTGCTGACTCAACAAGATGAATTAACCATTTGCTTGTGCCATGTGGAAGGGACTGTCACTGGACGACAGGGAAGACATAGTCCATGGGCTCCAAGAGACTTTCCCAATGGAGGAAACAATTTGCCTCAATCCACTTCCAGGATTGGTGTAATCCTATTGAGAGATTTGATATCCCCTGTCTTCTTCACTGTGGTTTTGGGCCATGACCTCTACTGATGGATCTTGGGAAGATTTTGATAATTGTTGCTTGTCAACTTAGGGAAGGGATGTCTTGACTTTTCTCTCATGACCAGAGGTGTCTGTGACCAGACTGGCTGTGTTTGGAGATGCAGCAAAGTCAGCCAGCCTCCTGTGGGCTTCATCCTGCCCTACCTCAAACCACAGGACCTCCTTGAGTGTAAGGGTTTTCTCTTGACCAATGGAGTTTCATGGTTATCCCTTTCCATCCTGCCAGACATCTTTGACACTCATTCTTCCCCAACTTCCAATGGTCCTTTTTCCTTTGAAACCTCGAAGGCTCCCCAGCAATCTGTGCTCCAGGATAAGAAGACCTGTCATCCACATCTACTGTCAAATGGGAAGATGAGCTCAGTAGCAATCAGACTCTCCTGTTCTGACTGGGTCCAGGGCCCACCTCCAAGGCCCATCATCCAGGGAAAAGGAAGAGGAATCCTGCCACTAATATTAAGAAACATACGAAAATCTACCGATATGCTGCCCATACTGGAAGAAAATCTACATTTTTCATTAAATCACACAGTAATTTAAAATATTTAAGTCCTCAAAAATTAACAAATTTGACTTTTTTCTTTGCATTATTTCTAAGTCAACTTGAGATAAGCAATGCCAACTAAAGCCATCCTAACCTGTTTGGGATGCTCCTTATTGAGAGATTTGAAGTCCCCTGTCTTCCCCATTGTGCTTTTGGGTCGTGACCTCTGCTGATTGATCTTGGGGAGATTTTGACAACTGTCATTTGTCATCCTAGGGAAGGAACAAAGATCTTGGAGGAAATGATTCTAACCATTTCATTTGAGATACGTAAACAACTAGGGTAGCACACTTAAAGGAGGAAGCAGGGTTCTTAAAGCATATGCAGATACAACCCAACAGGTCTTTCTCTCTGCAACATCCACCCACCCACCTTGCCCATCTTTGCCTCAACTCCTCCAGTCTCCCCACTGGGTTCCTCCAAGACTGGACTTAGGGGTCCACCTCCTCCAGAAGGCTCCCCTCCATTTCTTCTTCAGACCACAAGACTTCAGTCCTTGTGCAAAGAGTTTCATGTTCTCCAGGGCACATTACTCTATAAGCTTTCTGCCACTGTTTCTTCCCAGCTTCCTTAGAGCAGGGTGAGGGCCTTCTTTAAGCACCCCTCATCAAGTTGTCTTGAATAAACATCAAAAGGAGCTCTAGGTGTGCCCTGTGGGGACCCACAGTTAGAAAGGGAAGAAGGACACTGCTCCAAGGAGCTCCCTTCCCAAGTCCTCTGTTCTTCAAGTTAAATATCTCCAATGGCTCCAGTTGCTCCTAAGGCTACCTCATCCTAATCAACTTCCATTTGTCCACTATCCTTTGACCATACTCTAGCTCATTGATATTCTGGCTTATTACTTTTTGGACACTATTTCAATTGATAGAGTACTGGTGTGGTGCTGTCGGATAAGCACTGGATTGCTTATATGAAAAAGGTCAGCAGTTCAAACCCACCAATCACCCTTGAAAACCCTGTGCTGGGTCGCTATGAGTTGGAACTGATCGACAGCACTTAACAACAACAACAATATTTTTTATTGATGAGGCCTAAGACCATATAGGAGTCCTGGTGTGGCGCTATGGGCTAATGTATCAGACTGCAAAGTCGTTTGAACTCAAGGTCGGTGATTCCCTGTAAACCTATACGGGGTTGGTATAGGTAAGAATCGACTTGACAGCACTTAACAACAATAACAAAACCTTAAAGGAGTCCTGGTGTGGCACTGTAGGATAAGCACTAGACTGCTAACCACAAGGTTGGTGGTTTACACCCACCAGCCGATACAGGGTTGCTATGAGTTGGCACCGACTCGATGGCACTTAACAACAACAAGAAGACCATATTAGCAAATACATTATACCACTGGCTCACACAGTACTTTTGTCTAACTCAAAATGCTAGATCTCTGATTTTGTAATGGGAACTATTTGTTGTGAATCTTTGGTTAGAGTTTGTTAAGGGTTGGTTTGTATCCTCCCAAAAAATACGTTCAAGCACTAACCTCTGGTACCTGGGACTGACGGTATTTGGAAATAACATCTTTGCAGATGTAATTAGTTAAGTTAACAGGAGGTTGGTCATACTGGAGTAAGGTGGACCCTAGTTCATCTGACTGGTGCCCTTATAGGAAGAGGAGAAGAAGACCATGTGAAGATGAAACAGACATTGGAGTTATGCCGCCAGAAGCCGTAACACATGGGGCCACCCGAGGAAAGTCAGGAGAGATTCCTCCTCTAGGGCCTTCAGAGAGAGAACATGACCTTGGCAGCTCCCTGGTTCCTGACATCTAGCCTCCAGACTGTGAGAGAATAAACTTGGGTGGTTTTAAGCCATACGGTTTGTGGCACTTGCTATGGCAGCCCTTAGGTGTGGCGCTACAGGATAATGCGCTGGACTGTACAGTTGTTTGAACCACAAGATCTGCAGTTCAAACCCACCAGCCGCTCCTCAGAAACTCTATGCAGGGTCACTATGGGTTGGAACTGACAGGACAGCACTTAACAGCAACAAAGGAACTAATGCAGGGGGTAATCAATATTCCATTAGATTTCATCTTGTTATTTTGGGCTCATCTACCAGATTGTCCAGACTTCTCAGGATCCCAATTCTGTCATTCATCACATGAGCTAATCTTTCCATCTATGGCTCATCTGATGAGGCGTTCTGCTCCCGTAAAGATTTACAGCCTCAGAAATCCTGTACAGGGTCGCTATGAGTCGGAACCAACTCCACAGCACAAAACAACAACAACAATGGCTCATCTGTAAACTGGAATTTTGCTCTCTGGTAGGAGATACGAGAATTAGGAAAAGGCACTTTCAGTTGCCAATATCCAGTCTCATGGCACAATCTCTCAACTCAGTAACTATCTTTGAGCACAAAATTATAGATAAAAACACCATTTCTTACTTTCCTAATTACTCTTCCTGACGCCAACCTTTATGCCTGCTATATACAAACATCTACCCTGCGAGGAGTTGAAGTAAACCCAAGCTGTCAAATGTGCCACCATGCTCCGTCCCCCAAAACACAGCACTCCAGCAACATCTGTTTGTGGAAAGCTGAGGAACTTTCAGGCATGAATGTGTGGCTGAAAGATAATCAGAATCCAAATGCATTTTAAAGTTGGGCTCTTAAAATGCCCCTCACTGTTTTTCCGCTCAAGTGGTTAACATTTATTACTAGACTCTGACTAGCTTTATGGAAACTATAAATAAAAGAATAACACATGTCAGAAAAATAAAACTGTTCCTAAAGAATAGTACAAAGCTAGCTAGCCCGAGGCAGAGATTTCTCCTGAGTATTATCAGGAAGCATGCACGAGTTCCACCACCATTCTTATAAAGCCAAACAGCCCTGCAAGGTCTCCTTGCCCTTCCTTCCTGGACTATAAACAAGAAAACCAGGTCCACAGAGCAAGGAACTCAGTGGGCACACAAAATTTGAGTGTCTGACAAATTGCTTATGATCAGAAGCTAAGACTTTTTTTTTTTTAAGTAGCATTATAAGATCCTGGTGTGGTGCCATATGATAAGCACTGAATTGCCAAGCTAATGGTGCTATAAGATAAGCACTGAACTACCAACTATTAGGTTGGCAGTTCAAACCCACCAGCCACTCCTTGGAAACCCTGTACAGAGTCACTGAGATAGAACTGATTCAACGGCACTTAACAACACCATTACTTTGTTTTGTCTAAATGGCTGTTTGACCCCTCAACTTTAACCTTTGCCTGGGGTGTTGTTAAGTGCTATCAACACAGTTCTGACCCATAGCGACCCTGTATAGGGTTTCCAAGGAGCAGCTGTGAGCTTAAACCGCCGACCTTGTGGTTCAAACCAACTTTTCAGTCCCATGCATTAACCCACAATGCCACACCAGGACTCCTTGCCTGGGGTGTAGGCTTTATTAAAACAGCAAAACTCCATCTAGGCCCCAGTGCTCCAAAGTTGGGCCAACCCTCTAGAGCAGTGGCCCACACTCCTGTGAATTTCTAACCAGGCTGGGGCACCAGGAGTGTGTGTTGGGAATGAGAATAGAGCAACAGGAGAAGCCATTAAGGCCAGAGTGGGAGGTCTTTGTGGAAGACTGTGTCTACCCAGAATGGATGAAGAGACAGAGCAGCCCCAGTCAGATGCCCCAAGTTCCAAATGAGATTTGGATTTGAGGAGCTGGAGGAAGGTACACAAGATGCAGATAAGAAAAGGAGGGACAGTAAGAGGAGAGCAGGTCCCCGGCAGACGAGCCGCAGGGAAGACAGAGTGTGGGCTTGAACGTCCTGGCTTGCTGCTGCATATCTTTACATGTGAGGACATGCCATGTGGGAGTGCTCCAAGAAGTTACAGATGAGGTGAAAACAAAGAAAGGAGGTGGGAGAATATTTCTCGAGCGCCCGCTATACGCCAGAAACTTGCTCAGAGTTTGTAAGTAGCAGAGGCAGGACTTGAACCTGGCTCTTTCTTTATGTCTCTGACCTTCATATTTTCACACCCTGTGGCCTGTAATAGAGTACCACTGGACACAATCATTTTCAGTAAAACCAGGGAAACCAACAGATATTGGCCCAAGTCCTGGAGAGCTTTAGTATCACCGGGACCCATGGCTGGGCCTACCAAAGAAACATGACCACAATCTGGTATTGCTGGTAGATGGATTGGCACTGGAAAATCTTCTAGAAGGGATCCCACAAACTCCCAGAGCTGAGATGGTCAAGACGAATTACCATTCACTTTACCTTCTGGTCTTCCCTCCACTTCTTTGTGGTAAATTATTTTCTGCTGTGACAAAACAAATATTGGAGAAAGAGGGAAGAATTTAATTTTTGATAGAGATTTTCAAGTATGTTTTTTCTTTTACATTGTTCTCAAAAGTTTCTACTACAGTCTTTCACAGATACTCTGAGCTATTCTCATCTAGAAAGGCAAGCAATTACCAGCTATTAGAAAGTGACCTAGATGTGCTCCTAAACCTTTCCATACATGGAAGGACCCCAAAGGCCTCCAATAGTAAATGCGCTGGTTACTACTAACCTGGTGAAGACTGCTATGGGCTTGTTTCATTTTATTTTAAGTTTTTATTGTGAATTGAGTAATAGTTTACATGGGAGAACATCGGTTTTAAACTCATCATTTCATTGCAATGATTAGATCTCCTCTGTGCATCATCATTCAACAGTATTTGCTTCTATTCCCTCTGGTTTGGGGGTATTTTTTGTTGGGGGGGTGGAATGTACACATAAACACTCAGGAATATATAATAATTTAAACAACCAAGGGTACATTCTGTAAGCCTGCCTCTTGGTCAGCTATGGGCTTGTTTTAAAGCTGCCATTTCATTCCGTTTTTACTTGACACCATTTTTCTGTGAGCCCATCAGGTGATCGATCACATGAGTCTAGCAGGGAATACTTGCAGCTATAGTTTACAGGCTTACCTTAAGATAAAAACAGTGTTGTCCAAATATCATGGGAGAATCTGGGTATCAAACTAGATCAGACCATGTCAGTAATGTTTCTGGTGGTAAGGAGTCGGTACTTCCTCTGCCAAGACCCTGATCTAACAACCAGCTAAGGAAGCCAAGCTCAGAGCCTTACATTGGCAGGGAGCTCAGATGAAAATACCTCAGACACTTTAACTCTAAGATTTGGCCCTAGCTATTTTAAATTAATGTTCCTCTTGGTTTCCTGGTCCCTACGCAAAATGTTACAGACTGTGGCTTAACAAGTGCCTTATAAACAGGATGATGCCCTCTCTTGGTTTCTAATTACTTCCCCCACTTACGGATTTCTAAGTCAATGTTCTCACAAAACGTAGGGCCCTTACTTTAGATCTTCCCTGCAGCCAGGCTCCTTGACTGCTAACGTATATAGGGTCTTTGCATTCTATTGATCATTATCTGGCTTGATGGCTTTCAAAAGCATTTCATTATCTATACATGAGCTATTAGCTCCACCAATACTCATTTTCATGTTGTTTTCAAGATAGATAATAGGTCTTCCTAACTAGAAAAAGTTTTCTGTCATTTATTCTCTTCCAACAACTCTTTCCATCTCAAAAGAAATAAAAGTAATATTGGCCTTATAAAAAGTACCTGGATACTCTGAGGTTTTGCTTTTATTGCCGTAAAACACACATTCCTCAAACAAACGCCAACAAGACTAAAGGGACGTCAATGTCCAGACAATTATGTTTAAATTGCCCCTGCGGATCTGAGAGAGGCCACCTGATCTTTCTGGTGCAGGATGAGGGGCATCATGCATCTGAGAGTCACAGGAGGAAGAAACATTAATCTGAAAGGCACAATAAAGCTTTATTCCTAGAAAATAGCCATGTACCTGTATCGGATGCCTTTTTGACAATTTTGGGGTATTTCTGAAACTTTACAAAATAGTAGCTTTCATATTCCATCAAAATAGTTTCAAGATCAATGTTGTCACAAACTTCAAAGCGTCGTAACCCCAGTTTGGTTTCTTGTTCCAAAGCACTGGCCGCATCAATGTATCTGGCAGTTTCACAGAAGGGAAAAAAAAAACAAAAACGTATTTAAAAACAACTCTGAGTGAAAAGAAAAAAGACAAACAGGAACCATAAATTCTGAGACATTGAGTATAGAAAGAGATGCGTGCTGTCTAGTTGATTCCAACTCATTGCAAGCACATATGACAGCACAAGCCTATGTTAATAGTACATTAGATAACAATTACTACATATGTTGTTGTTGTTAGATGTCATCTTGTTGATTTTTAATTCATATCGACCCCATCTGACAGAGTAGAAGTGCCCCACAGGGTTTCCTAGGCTGTAATTTTTACGGGAACAGATCACCAGTTCTTTCTCCCACAGAGCCTCTGGGTAAGTTCAAACATCCACCTTTCGGTTAGCAACAGAGCATTTAATCCTTGTGCCACTAGGATTCCTTCTGAGGTCCACCTATAGAGTGAGGAGCCCCTCCACACTTTTGTTCAGTATACCTAACTATTGCCTTTCAAAACAGTTGCTTCTGGAAGCTACTTATTTATTTCAGGACTGTCACCATAAATGAGTAAACCAACTAAGCACGTAAGTCTGTGTTTTAGCCTTTACTCATTATTAACCAACAGTAGGTATTTGCCCAGTTTGACTAGCTCATTATTCCCCAGTCTTCCTATCAGGTCACATTTGGCAATTGAAAAACAAACAAATTCAACCCTTCAGTGAAAGATTTGACAGTACTGAAACAATTCAAAAGATGTCATGAGCTCTGAAAGAAATGTCAGAGACGCATAGATTGATGGTGTGTTGTTGTTAAGTGCTGTCAAGTCGGTTGCAACTCACAGTGACCCAGTACAGGATTTCCAAGGAGCGACTGGTGAGTTTGAACCGCCAACCTTGCAGTTCAAACCGACCTGTGGTCCTGCACTTATCCTACAGCACCACACTAGGACTCTAGAAATTAATTTCTGGCAGCAATACAGATATTAAGACATCATCTTCTTGGCTGTGTTATTTCTGCTGGCTTTTTTAACCACACATTCCACAATCAGGTTATGTAAGCAGCTTCTTCACTGTTTTTAACTTGTTCAGTCGTAAGGCTGCCCAACTTAAAAGCAGCAAGAGTTTTGCTTCAAAATCCTCTGAAATTACAAATGTTCTCCAGGTTTTTAATTTGGCTTCTTTGTAAGACCAATGACTTTCTCCTGAAAAACAGACACATTTTCAAATATGCAAAAAGCAGCACACAATCTCAGGGGCTCCCCATCATCGCACCCTCTCTAGCTCATCCAAACCCAAAATGCTTTGCCGTCGAGTCAGTTCTGACTCCTGACGACCCTGTAAAACAGAGTAGAACTGCCTCAGAGGGTTTCCCAGGCTGTGACTCTTACAGAAGCAGCCTGTCACCCCTTTCTCCTGTGGAGCAGCTGGTCAGCTTGAGCTACCAACCTTTCAGTGAACAGCTGAACACTTAACCCCTACACTACCAAGGAGAATTGAACTCATCCAAGGACTTCAAATTGATCATTCCTGCTGTACAATCATGGAACAATGTGGCAATTCCTCAAAACCTTGAAAACAGAACTAACTGTTAACAGCGAAATTCCAAAAACCAAAAAACAATAAATGCTGGCGAGGGTGTGGAGAGTCTGAGACCTTCCTATATTGCTGGTAGGACTGTAAAATGCTTCAATCACTCTGGAAACTGACATGGCACGTCCTCAGAAAGTTGGAAATAGAAATACCTATGACCCAGTAATTCCTCTACTTGGTCTCTATCCACAAGAAATATGAGCCAGGACATGACACACACCAATGTTCATCGCAGCCCTATTCACAGTAGCAAAAAGATGGGACAGACTAAATGTTCAACCATGGAAGAATGCATAAATATACTTTGATACATACCCACAATGGAATACTATGCATCACTGAAGAATAATGATGAATATTTGAAACACTTCATAACTTGAATGAACCTGGAGGACATCGTGCTGAGTCACAAAAGGACAAATATTATATGAGACCATTATTGTTAAAACTTAAGAAAAGGTTTCCAGACTAAAAGAAACTTTCTTTGATGGTTACCAGGGGTGGAAGGGACAGTAAAGGAATTCACCGGCTAGAGAACTCACAACAGCAAAAAGGATGGCACAATCTGAAATGTCCATCACCAGATGAATGGATAAACAGTGTGCTACATACATGCATACAATGGAACACAACTCAACTAGCAGGAGAAATGAAGTCTTGATATATGCTACAATATACCATATTTTTACTCAAATAGCACTGTTACATGATTTTTTTTTTTACAAACCACTCAACCTCCTCACATGTTCATTTCCTATACACATTACACATGTTATATGGATGTGCATGTTAATTGCATGTGCACATTATATATGGGAAAACAGAGTAAATGGAGATTGAAGACAACATACTGAGTGAAACGTCAGTCACAAATAGACAAATGTTGTATGATCTTAAACATATAAAATAACAACAACAAAAACAGGCAAGTGTGGTTACCAGGGGGTGAGAACAAGGATGCAGTGGGAGACTAACAGTGATGGGGAAATCCCATTGATAAGGCTGGGGCTGCACAGACAATTGTTGTGATTGCTGTAAAAAATAAAATAAAATAAAAAGTTGAACTGGCAAAAGTTGTGTGATAGATATAGTCACATAAAAAGTAACTGTTGAGGCTGCCTCTGTTCAACCAAGGAGCTCATGGGATTTGGTCCCTTGGTTTGGAGGCTTAGGGTCATGGTTTCATGGGACATCCCAGTTAACTGGCTTAATAGCATGCTTAGTACTTCTGTTCTACCTTCTAATTCAATGAGTAGGATCTGAGGTCTTAAAAGCTTGCCAGTTGTCATTCAAGACACAAGAATTGCTCCCTCTTCACCTGGAGCAAAAGAGAAAAGAAAGTCAGGCATAGGAGGAGGATATGGACTCCTGGTGTGGCACTGTAGGATCAGCACTGGACTTCGAACCAAAAGATCAGCAGTTCAAACCCACCAGCTGCTCCTTGGAAACCCTATACAGGTTAGCTATGAGTCAGAACCAACTCAACAGTACTTAACAACAACAAAGGAATGTGTTGTCAATGGCCTCCATGAACAACTGCCTCTTTTGCCACAGACCCAAAGAAGTGGATGGTGTTGGTTGCCATTACTGAAAATTGGATGAAAAATTTTATATAGAAGAATCCTAATCAAAAGGGGTGAAAGTACAGAATAGAATTTCAAATTCTCATGGAATCCAGACTCTGTTTCCATGGAGACTGGATGAACTACTAAAGTGACTGCTCTATTATCTTTAAAACTTAAACCAAAACTCCTGTGAAATCTTCTTAAAAACCAAACAATAGTTTAGCATAACTAGCAAAAAAAAAAAAAAAAATAGCATCTGTCTTAAGCTTTCTGCTCATTCAAGATTTATCTACTTGGGATTAAACTGACAACAGTAACTGGTATGATTAGAGATTAGACAGGAACCGTAGAAGTCATGAGTTATGTTAATGGAGGAGGAACAACTGAGAAAAGGTGGATGAGAATGGTTGTACAGTTCAGAGAAGGTAATCAATATCATGGTCCTGTACAACAAACACTTTTCACTAATTTTTTTGTACACACAGACACTTTTGCGGTGTCTATTCTTAACAACAAAGAAACAAAAGTGTTTTTTAAAAATAGAATCTCTGCTGTAGGTAAGAATTATTTCTGTTTGATTTTAGTTGAAAAGGTGGAAGAAGAACTTTCTTTTTTATTTACGCCCTACTCCTGGCACCAAATTCAGGCCAGTTAGAATGCTCTAAAAAGAGGTTGGCTATTGCCAGTTACCTTGAAATATATTTATTTCTCCCAAGCTAATTTTGGAGTCTTGGTATGGCACTGCAGGTTAATGCACAGATCGGAAGGTCAGTTTGAATTGCAAGTTCGACAGTTCAAGCTCACCAGTCGCTCCTCAGAAACCCTACACAAGGTCGCTATGAGTAGGAACCAATGCGACGGCACTTAACAACAACAAAGCTAATTTTAAGGAGCTCTGGTAGCGTAGTGGATTATGAGCCTGGCTGCTAACTACAAGGTCAGTAGTCCAAATCTATCAGTAGCTCTGTGGGAAAAAGAGGAGGCTTTCTGCTCCTGTAAAACTTTACAGCCTTGGAAATCCTATACAGGGTCAGTCTGAGTTGGACCTGACTCAGTGGCCACAACTACCACTAAGCTGATTTTAAAGAACTTATAAAGCAGTCAGTTGACTGTACTCAGTTTCTCAGAATTACTAGTGGCTCACCAGGCTTCTGTCCTATGTCTTAATCTTTAATTTACAAAAAGAAAAATGAAATCAGTTTTTTGTTTTCTTAAAGTATCATTTTGCTTTGTTGTTGTTGTTAGGTGCCATTGAGTCTGTACCAACTCATAGCAACCCTATGCAGAACAGATCAAAACACTGCCCAGTCGTGGGCCAACTTCATAATCATTGGTACATCTGAGCTCATCTAAGCAACTCCACGGCACATAACCACCACCACCACCAAGCTGCCACTGTGCCAATCCATCTTGCCAGGGGTCTCCTCTTCCTCATTGTTCTTTAATATAGAGTAATACATGTTCATTTCAGAAAAAAAATACAAATAAATCAAAAAGAAAATTATACCACTCAGAGATCGTGACTGTTAACATTTTGTCTATCTTATCAAACTTTAAAAAATTACTAGATACACACATATGAGGATAAGTCCAAAAGTATTGCTACAAGGGTTCTGGTTCATATATATATGGATTTAATACAAGCAAAACATGTCTAAACATGTCTCTGCGATCAGTGGATGGCTGTAGACAAGTTGTTTCAATAATACATCTGTCTCATAAAGGTGCCTTACCAAAAAAAAAGTCCAAACAAAATAGTTACTTTCATCAACTGCTCTGAAAGGGATCACATTAAGAGGTCCTGGATAGAGCAGTAGAAAAATGTGGAACAAAAATGAATATCAAAGATCAGGTTTACTGGTCAGATGGACAC